GCAGTGTAGGTATAAATGCACATTATATACTTACCTTGACAAAGTGTTCCATTTCCAGTATATCCACTATCGCAAGTACACAGAAAAGAGCCATCAATATTGGTGCAGTTTGAGTTTTGGTGACAGTTGTCAATAGATAAAGAACATTCATCGATGTCTAAAAATACATGATAATCTTAGGCAGGAAAAGCGAAACTATTGGATCTCATTTTCTATCATTTTAGCATTTTATAGCCTTTCTTCGACCGCGCAGGCGAAGACATTTGATTGTAGCTCACTTCCTATTACTGTATGGCGTGCACATAAGGGCTAAAGTGAACTCAAGCTGTCAAGCTACAGCGCATGTTCAAAAATGTTTGCTCAAACCGTGCGGGAAGAACGACCGTAATGGAAAAGAGCCTTTAATTAATATTACGTCTTACACGCTTGTTTGACGTCCATAATATATCTCACTTTTTAAAGATTGAGCAATATGATTGAATATTTGTACTCTGAAAACTACTGCTCTTTCACATCGGTAAAATATCTGTCCGACAGTTAAAACGCGCGTTTCAAACGTTTCAACGATTAAACAATGGAGAGGAATATCTGACATTTGGCGCATGGCAACAGAATAGTTGTGAGGGATGAACCAGGCGGGAATCCTAATCTAATAATAAATATCAATGCCCAGCATAATGTCCGTATAATAATAGCCATAACAAGGAGAAATTTTCATAAATTTAATTATTTACAGAACTAACGTTTCGTCTTGTACTTAAGACATCTTCAGAGTAAAGAATGATTTAAAATTACAAAGTTATATATATATGCATGAATAAATTACAACAATTACAGAGTACGTATAGAATTACAAGTATAATCTAAGGAGAAAGGTAGCGGAAGTAAATAGGATATGGAAAGGGGATTAAAGTAGAAGAAGGGGGACTGAACTGCCTTGTACGTTCAGGGTAGGTTTAAGTTTGGAAATGAGAAGGCTTTCATGGATCATAAGCTTTTCAGAGGAAGAGCAAGGTGAAAGAATTTTAAAATCATCAAGGAAAGACGTATGATCAGTGTTGTCAAGGTGTTGAAGAATGCTGGTTAATTTTGGGCTGCTGCTTTTGTTACCTGTTAGACCAGATATACCTAAGTGTTCATATACTCGTGTGCGCAAATGACGGACCGTTTGGCCCACATACGATGCGGAACAGCATCGACACTTAAAATGATATACTACACAAGATCTTAGACCTTTGGGAATTTTGTCTTTAAAGGTAAAAAGGTGAGAGAGGCGTAGAGTTGGGCGAAAGACAAATCTTTAGGGGTGCACCGGAACTCGGTTCCGACCGGTTAGTTCCGGCCGGAACCCCGATTTTTAGAGTTCCGGTTCCGGCCGGTACTAGTAAAAAAAGCATGACCGGAACCGAAACTCTGTCGTTTTCAGAGAGATAGAATATCGTTTTTGTGTCTAACAAAAGATCACAGTAGGAAGAAATTTGGACTACGCAAGGGAAATGTACACTGTTAACACTTCATTATGATGTTTAACGCTTGTCAATCTTTTTATTCTAACATTTGCGAGCTCTCTCCTTGATGACTTGAAGTGTCTGCCTGTCTGGCAGCGGACAAAGTAACAAATGACTATACACGGCTTAATAAATTAGTTCCGGCCGGAACTTTTTATCAGTTCCGGTCGGATCCGGTTGCGGGCGGAACTTAAAAAACTGGTTCCGGTGCAACCCTACAAATCTTATATTCAAATGGGGAAACGCTAAAGAACCAAGTCGAGAAATTTGAGTACGAATTTGCAGAGAATGTAAACCAGTGAATAGGAGACAGAAGTACATAACTTTCTTGGCCACCGAATGAACTACAGCTTTGGGTTGAAAAACTTTGTCCAAGAAAACTCGTACGCACCGATCAAATAAGCGAGTAGGATATAACCATTTCGGTTAAACACTTTTCTGAATAATTCCAACTGAACATGGAAGTTCTCATAGCTAGAACAGATGCTAAAGAAACGATATAATAGTGAAGATATTAGACAACGTTTATATTGAATTGGAATGAAACTATGAAAATTAGTAAAAAGACCTGTGAAAGTGGGCTTTTGGTACACAGAAGTTTCAAAGCGGCTATTCTTGCGTGTAATGCTAATATCCAGGAAGGGTAGCGTGAAATTAGACTCAACTATTATATAATTTCTTTAGCATTTGTTCTAGCTATGAGAACTTCCATGTTCAGCTGGAATTATTCAGAAAAGTGTTTAACCGAAATGGTTATCCTACTCGCTTATTTGATCGGTGCATACGAGTTTTCTTGGACAAAGTTTTTCAACCCAAGGCTTCATTCGGTGCCCAAGAAAATTATGTACCTCTGTCTCCCATTCGCTGGTTTACATTCTCTGCAAATCCGTACTCAAATTTCTCGACTTTGTTCTTCAGCGTTTCCCCATTTGAATATAAGATTTGTCTTTCGCCCAACTCTACGCCTCTCTCACCTTTTTACTTTTAAAGACAAAATTCCGAAGGGTCTAAGATCTTGTGTAGTCTATCATTTTAAGTGTCGATGCTGTTCCGCATCGTATGTGGGCCAAACGGTCCGTCATTTGCCCACACGAGTATCTGAACACTTAACAAAAGCAGCAGCCCAAAATGTCTTAAGTGCAAGACGAAACGTTAGTACATTTCTGTAAATAATTAAATTTATGAAAATTTCTCCTTGTTATGGCTATTATTATACGGACATTATGCTGGGCATTAATATTTATTATTAGATTACGATTCCCGCCTGGCTCATCCCTCGCAACTATTCTGAAAAACCGCTACAATAATGGTTCGCTCGAAGCCTTTCGAAAATTTCAGCATCTTGAACTGAAACTTGGAAAAACCAAACTGGATTTAGAGTTCCTGAAAAGTTGTAAGAGACACTCAGTGATACCCCGGTTTCTATGGTTTAAAGTCGCTAATCGACGTCTGCGAAACTCGAGTGCATATCGGCAGTGCCAAAACAAATTACTAAAAGACGAAATTATCGCAAAACATGCTAGAAGTCGTGTGTTATCATCACAAGTGACAGTCGCGCATTCCAACCTAGCCTCGCATGTATCATCAATCGATTTCATCCACCTAAAGAGTGTGTCCGATCGTGAAAACACTAAGAAATTGAGTCAACACCAACGGATTCAAGATCGCAAACTATTTCGCCTGTGTTCCGAAGCAAAAAATGACAGTTCCATTGATCCGAATAGCGTGGTATTCAATTTCTCGAAGCGTTTAATTACCGACAAAGAAAAGGAAATCCTTTCAAAAGGTTTGAATTTTGCCATTCCACCAAGTAAATTGAACTATTGCTCTTCAGTTTTTTGCGCCTTTGAAAAGCTTCATAAAAGACTGAAGGACGAAGACGTTTATGAGCGGTCGAGAATTTATTAATAATTATTCTTATAACAGTTATAAGGTTGACAAATTCTTTATCCCTCTTCTCAATCCCATTTCATCTGGTTCTTACATGGTGAAAGATTCTTTTTCGTTTGTTCAGGAATTATTAAGTCTTAACCTTAATTCCAGTAACGTCGTTATGGCCAGCTTTGATGTCACCTCTCTCTTTACCAATATCCCTCTTGATGAAACCATTGACATTATCTGTAACCGACTTTTTAGCAACGCCGTCCGCTACCATGGTCTTACTCAATCTGAGCTAAGGAAACTACTTGGCTTTGCAGTGAAAAACTGTCACTTCCTGTTTAATGGCGTTTTATACCACCAGATTGACGGGGTGGCTATGGGATCTCCCTTAGGTCCTTTATTTGTAAATATCTTTTTGTCGTTTCACGAAGCTGACTGGCTGAACAACTGTCCCACTGCTTTCAAGCCTCTTTTATATCGCCGTTATGTCGACGATTATTTTTTACTTTTCCATTCTGCTGATCATATACCACAATTTCATTTTTAAATAGTCAACATCCCAACATTACTTGTGAAATTGAGTCACATTACTTGTGAAATTGAGTCTAATTCCACGCTCCCCTTCCTGGATATTAGCATTAACGCAAGAATAGCCGCTTTGAAACTTCTGTGTACCAAAAGCCCACTTTCACAGGTCTTTTTACTAAATTTCATAGTTTCATTCCATTTCAATAT